TCGGGAATGACGATCGTCGGTGAGAAAAATTATTTTCGTTTAAATCAAGTTAATTTTTCATGTAATTTATTCTTATATATGACTTTATTTGTACTCATTTGTTAAATAACATACTTATTTCAATATTCTCATTTCATTTTTAAATTCTAACGATGCTTGTAACCGTAGCATTCTTTGAAAGTAAAATGTACAAAATTATTACATAATAATATAATAACAGAATTTCGAATAAAATACGCAAACAAAATTCCAAAACAATAAAACATGTTTTCCTTTGTCGGTTATATAACATTACCATGAAATGACCTTCGGCATACCCTACTACACAAATTATTTATGCGCGGGTACTTTACATAAGTCAGACATTTTCATGTCTTTGCATGTTTTTTTTTTTTATTCTGTTCCTACATTTTCGTGGCACGACCTCATCAAATATCTATCATCGTAATGCGAAGGTACATAAGTTTCCGCGGTACATCGTTTTGTTTTTTGAATAATTCATTAGCTACGTTCAGCATTCTAATTATAAAGGCCTTATTGTTTCTTTTTTTATTATTAGATTAATTCATATTCTTGTAAATGTAATTTTATTACTCGTAATAATTTAGTCTTCAGATATTCATGAGAGATTTTCACGTAATATTATCGAGATTTAGCGCGCAACATACCTACATAATTTTAGTATCGTTTACAGAACCCATTTGTTTCACGAATTATTTTGCTGATGTTTTTTTTTATAATAATAGCATAAATAAAGAAATAAAGCCTAAATTTAAAATAGTGGACTAATTATATTTTTAAAATCTTTGTTTATATAGTACAAATTATGTTTGTTTCATTCATTCTGTCGGTGCATTATTATTCATCGTTATTGACGAATTGAAAATGCAAATATCCATGCAGATAACAAAACACAGGCATTATTCATTCAAGCCATTGAATAAAGAGACAAAGACTGATTGTTCAGGTCTCAACGTTCACTAAAAAATTACGTATTCCTCAATGGATTCGTCTTCCTTCTCTAAACGCACAGGCTAGAGAGAGACGGCTTCATTGCACTTGCTGACGTCACGGGATTCAGGAAACCGTGCCCCAGTTACCTCACTGTGTCAAACTCGATTGCTTTTCGATTTCACTACGTCAATAAATTGTCAGCCTTAACACCGAGCAATAAAGATCGATTCACTCTTCTCGCTGGCTTTTAAATTCCTACAAAACTTGTTTCCCGAGTTCTTACTATGGTGGGTAAGTAGGTCAATTGTGTTCATGAATGAACGAACTAAGGAACGATTTTGAATGCTCAATTAAAATAATGAATGGTTCCAAATTACGTTCGATTTTGACTGGATTTGGTATTTAATTATGGAAATTGGCCGGTTGTTACGTGCAAAATTGGTCAAAATATGATACGGAATATAATTTACCCCTATTACTAATTGTAGAATCACTGTGGTGAACTCCTTTCTCCGTTTTTCGCTCTTTATCATACACACAGAAGAAAACACATATTAATTCTACATCCACTTTAAAACATTTAAAAGCGCTGTCCAAAAGGCAAATAAGTACCAAAAGCCCTGGATCACTTATACACTAGCATAGAAGAATGTCTTTGGAATGTTGTAACAACAAAAGGAAATTGTCATTATCGTTTTAAAGTATCGAGTATAATTTAAGAATTGTCTCTATGATCGATTGAATAGAGAATAAAGTTCGAAATAGCTCGATTTATCGTGCCGTGGCCTTTGGTTTGGCAATGGTTTAAATATAGCGTACAACAGATAATACGGTCTGATCGTAACCACAAAGAATTATATATTTAGGCGGCAAGAATCTTGGAACTTTAGTACAAATTCTTGTAGAATATGAGCCAACATGCAACATCTTTCCCGCAAATCCGTCTCAGAGGCCCAGCCGAGCTGACAGGCGCTCAAGCCCTTTACACTCTTAACAATGATAATAACAATAATAACGAAAGATTAACTAAATCCTAATCCATACTTTATGTTCCTTACACTTTTCTTTTTTTTATTGCCCCTGTAGGCAGACGAGTATACGGCCCACCGGATGGTGAGTGGTTACCGTCGCCCATGGACTTCAGCAATGCCAGGGGCAGAGCCAAGCCGCTGCCTACCGCTTAATACTCTCCACAAACCTCGTTTTTTGGACTAAAGTTTGAATCATTTTAAAAACAAATAATTATAATCTATAAAAATTTTACGCAGGATTTAAGGTCCTAATCCGCCGTTCTGATTGTTCTAAACGACACTCTTCGTAAACAAAACCCCACAGACCACGTCCGCCCACCATCTGACATATTATTCATTCCCTGCAGTAAGGTTAGGTAAGGTTCCGAATGAAATACAATATTCAGTTGACAGGTACCGCTCTCATTTCTGTATCTCAGGTTTGCAGGGTTGCGAAGAGAACTCCAACGTGCCGTACTGTAAATAATTAATGTAGCTTAAATGTAGACGAACTCGTGCGTGCATTGTGTGATGACCTTGAATGTCAACCTTATTTATAAACAAACAAAGGTCAGAGTGAATAAATAAATGCTAAATTAAAATTGACAGTGAAGCTTGCGAGATTGAAAATTACTTGTTTTTTTGATTATCGAATTTATCGAGTATCGAAATAGCTACGTAAGATATTAATTATTGAATGAACGCCTCATCAGTATTGGCAATGTCAAAGTAAACAGGTACAAAAACAAAGTTAATTGTGTGAAATATACGTATAAAATTAGACAATTTCACTCATCTGAAACGCTATTATAAATCATTAGCATTGTTCATCGGATAATATGATTGGTAGTAGTGCATTGCGAAATATCCTGCCTGTTGTTTCGAAACTTTTCACATTTTTATTATTGTCAATTTAACCGCACAATTGCAAAACAATGGGACAGAATAACAACAAATCATTTATAAACTCTATTGCAAGTGAACAAATTACAACCATTCTAACAAATCATTTTTTACATAAACATATTTATTATTTCGTTTCTGCAAGAACCGTTTCCTTACATCATCTTTAAGATTTTAAACATGGATAATTCATCAGTAACAAATTATTCAGTTATTGCGTTACTCTCTATAGACTGCCTCTAGATTAGCTCTTGCAAAATGTCTTTCCCATCCTCAACTGCTATCATATGCATGTTATGTTGGTGGTGATAAGCTTCAGTGGTCGCCAATTCTCCAACCACGATCCTTTAATCAATATATATATAGTACTAGCTGACCTGGCAGACTTCGTAGGCCTCAATCGATAAATAAAAGACACATCAAGGGGACACATCAAAGGAAAAACAATTTTTTTTTTTTTTTATATAATTCCGAGCTTTTTTTATATTTTCTCACCTTTTAAACCTTCCCTGGACTTCCACGAATAATTAATTCAAGACCAAAATTAGCCAAATCGGTCCAGCCGTTCTCGAGTTTTAGCGAGACTAACGAACAGCATTTCATTTTTATATATAGAGATTATACTCGTTTTTTTTCCTACCCATTCGCTGGTAGCCTAAGAAGCTACTCCAGCTACGTGCGGATGGATAGGTCAGCTTACGGGCTCAACCTGAAAGAATTTGCTAACACTAGCCCTAGCAAGGGTAGTGCTTCACAGAATCTACCATAAGATTGGAATCGCGACCCACTAAGATGATCCGGCGAGAAACTCAATGAGCTGTGTCTATAGAGAGTTCAGTTTGCTTGTTACCTGTGCAACCTTCCTTTATTATTTGACAGGTTAATTAAACAAACATCACGGTCACCATTACGCCAAAACTAAAAGTACTATTTATTAATACCAACATTTCGACTTTTTTATGGTTTCCTTGACCACGGACGATCAAGATGTATAGCGGTATTGTGCTTTGTGTTGTCTATAAGTAGTCCTTAGGGATCCATCAGATCCATTAATCTCAGCACTAGAAGCCTTCAGCTCTTACACTAGAAGCAGACTTAGGGACCCCGGTAACCGTACTCGTTGAACTCGGCAAAGGGCTCGACGTGCAACCTAACCGAAACATCAGCCCGTTGAGTTTCTCGCCGGATCTTCTCAGCGGGTCGCGATTCTGATCCGGTAGATCCGGTAGATTCATTCGCGAAGCAGCTGCTCTTGAGTTATTAGATCTCCCTTAGAGGCGCTGGAGCAGCTGTTAGCAAAATCCCACCCCTCCTGGCTGAGCCATTGCTCGCCCACCTGTCCTGGTGAAACTGGAAAGGCATCGTATCATCAGTAATCATTCCTTCATAAAAAAAATGTAACCTATTTATGCGCCTGGTGGTGTGTGTTCTACACATGTAATAAGAAAAAAAAAATAACTAATGACATCTGTAATCGAAAATCATATACTGTCTGAGCAGCTGCGTATAAATAGTTGTTGATGAAAAAAGTAATACTCTATCAGTCTCAAAAAATAAGTTCGCGTTGGAATAAATATAACCTCATTTTAATTTATTTAAATCCAATTATATTTATTATATTTTGAAGTCGTCGTGGCCTAAAGGATAAGTCGTCCGGTGTATTCGTGTTGAGCGATACACGGGATGTTCGAATCCCAGGCGGGTACCAATTTTTTTAATGAAATATACGTACTCAACAAACTGTTCACTATTGACTTCCACGGTGAAGGAATAACATCGTGTAATAAAAATCAAACCGCAAATTTTAATTTGCGTAATTACTGGTGGTAGGACCTCTAGTGAGTCCGCGCGGGTAGGTACCACCACCCTGCCTATTTCTGCCGTGAAGCAGTAATGCGTTTCGGTTCGAAGGGTGGGACAGCCGTTGTAACTATACTTGAAACCTTAGAACTTATATCTTAAGGTGGGTAGTGCACTTACGTTGTAGATGTCTATGGCTTCCGATAACTACTTAACACCAAGTGGGCTGTGAGCTCGTCCACCCATCTAAGCAATAAAAAAAATGTGTTTCCGTTAAATGATGCGTTTTTACTTATTTGATCCTCGTGTAAATTAATACTTTAATATTTCCAGATAGTTCGGTGTGCGGGATGCGCGCGCCGGGCGAGTGCTGGTCGGTGCCGCGCTGGTCGCAGACGGTGGCCCCTCCCCCCGCCGACTACTCCAACTGCACCCCGCTGCACGCCCAGCCTGTGTTCCTGCACGACGACGCGATCAACGACCGCCTCGCGATATGGTCAGTAAAGTCCGATGCACACCAGCTTAACCGCCCTTTTGTTTTTTCCTACCTAAGCTGATAGCCTTGAGAGGCTTTATCAACGTCGCCTTAACTAGTTAGTGAGCTTAAGGGGACTCAAACCTGATGACGTTGTTAACACGAACTCTAGCAAGAGCCGTGCTTCGCAGAATCTATCACCGAATCGGAAACGCGACCCACTGAGAAGATCCGGCGAGAAACGCAGTGGGCTGTGTCTGAGGGTTAAACCGCCCAAAATCTGAGTGAGGAACGCAGTTCTATTTATCGCTTGAACAGAAACTCTTATAGACACAGCCCACTGAGTTTCTCCCCGGAACTTCTCAGTGCGTCGCGTTTCCGATCCGCTGGTAGATACTGCGAAGCACTGCTCTTGCTAGGGTCAGTGTTAGCAACACTCCAGTTTGAGCCCCGTGAGCTCACCTACACACGTTAGGGTGAAGCTGAAATAGCCTCTCAAGGCTATCAGCATAGGTAGGAAAAAAAAAAGACAAACTCTTCTATGTCTCTTGTTAATGTTATCCATTCCCGCGATACTCTCACTGCACAATGACCTAAAGCAGATCATTACCTAATGCCGTTTTAGTGCAATGACTAATCCTTGAGGTGTAGTATGTAAATATGGACACGGCCACATCGAAAATAGCCTGCAAGAACTGGATGAGTAGGAGCCCAGTGCCACGCCAACGGGAGGAACCATTGTTGGGGCTTTTGATGATAATGCCTTTTATGACTGTCTACTTACTATAAACTAGTCCCAAGTTTCAAGTACAAGACCATTGATCGATCTCACTTAAAGAGTGATTAACTAATAAATCGACTCTGATATATCACTTTCCCTTGAATGACCATTCTGCCACGCAACGTCGAGTCGAGCTCGAAGAAGTTCACTGTAAGATAACGTCTATAAAGTGTGACATATTTCAATTCCTACCAGATTTTCCTATGCATTAAAGGCTGCTGCAACTTTTTCTTCATCAACAATTCATTTTCGAGTTTTTTTTTTATTGCTTAGATGGGTGGACGAGCTCATAGCCCACCTGGTGTTAAGTGGTTACTGGAGCCCATAGACATCTACAACGTAAATGCGCCACCCACCTTGAGATATAATAAGTTCTAAGGTCTCAGTATAGTTACAACGGCTGTCCCACCCTTCAAATCGAAACGCATTACTGCTTCACGGCAGAAATAGGCAGGGTGGTGGTACCTACCTGCGCGGACTCACAAGGGGTCCTACTACCAGTAATAATACTACCACCAGTAATATTAACTTTACCACCAGTAAAAATAAAAGTACTTTTATTGGGATGGTCTAAATATATGCCCTTTCTCGATTCCAGGCAAGGCGACATAACAAGCTTGAGAGTGGACGCAATTACCAACACCACGGACGAGACGCTGACAGAGAGCAATGAAGTCAGCGACCGCATCATGCAAGTGGCTGGTCCGGATCTGAAAGAGGAGATCATACTCCGGGCACATGGTGTGCAAGTTTTTAAATTTTTTTTTATTTCTTATAAGGGTGGACGAGCTCACAGCCCACCTGGTGTTAAGTGGTTACGGGAGCCCATAGACATTTACGACGCGAATGCGCCACCCACCTTTGAGATATAAGTTCTAAGGTTTCAAGTAAAGTTACAACGGCTACCCCACCCTTCAAACCGAAACGCATTACTGCTTCACGGCAGAAATAGGCAGGACGGTGGTACCTACCCGCGCGGACTTACAAGAGGTCCAACCACCAGTAAATACCAGTAACTAATACCCGGTCTTATGTTTTTTGTCAAAGGCTTTTTCCTGGAAGCCACAGATGTAACTGTAGCAGATAGGCCTAGGCCGCTCTACGGCTAAGCTGCAGCCATTCAAAACCGTGTAAGTTTATGAAATAGGAAAACGAATACAAATAGCCGCATTTGCAGTTTTATCCCGCGATTGATTTTAAAACCGCGAAAAAAAACCGCAGCAAAATTTGTAATCCATCGAACTGGGTGAGCGTATACGCAATATGTGTAAACGCGGGCGGTTTTTTGAAATGGGAAATACATTTGCGAAATTTTGTACCTATGAAGGTGAATCATGGACGCATACTGAGCAAAATTTTATCTTTTTTTTTCCTACCTAAGCTGATGGCCTTGAGAGGCCATTATAGCGTAACCCTTACAAGTAGTTGATTCCACGGGGCTCAAACCTGACGACGTTACTAACACTGGCCCTAGCAAGAGCCGTGCTTCGCAGAATCTACCACCGGATCGGAAACGCGACCCACTGAGAAGATCCGGCGAGAAACTCAGTGAGCTGTTAGTTTACTCACTGAGCCCTTATGGATCGGGAGGATCCGAAATGACGTGTTAAATCTTATCGAATCTGGCTTGTGACAGCCGATAGTAATTAAAAAAATTCTCTGGATGTTTTCTTAAAATTTGATATTTCTTATGAAAGAAACTTTTCTTAAATCTACGGCTAAAATATTCCACTGAATTCTCAGTAGCTATGTACAATTTTACTGGGACTTTATTTCATTTTATTTGGTTTCATTCAATTTCATTCCAATTTATTACGATTTCAAATAAACATTCCGCTGTTTCTTTATATAAACTTAAATTACCACTATCGAAAAATCAAATCCACAAAATTATAATTTGCGTAATTACTGGTGGTAGGACCTCTTGAGAGTCCGCACGGGTGGGTACCACCACCCTGTCTGTTTCTGCCGTGAAGCAGTAATGCGTTTCGGTTTGAAGGGCGGGGCAGCCGTTGTAACTAAACTTGAGATCTTAGAACTTATATCTCAAGGTACGCGGCGCATTTACGTTGTGGATGTCCTTGGGCTCCAGTAACCACTTAACACCAGGTGGGCTGTGAGCTCGTCCAACCATCTAAGCAATAAAATAAAATAAAACTTTTAATGGCCACTCGAGAACTTTTCTGCTTCAGTGGCCATCTGTTCTAGTAGCTCTGGCCACTGCCACCTAAATCTTGTCATGATGCACAAAACCGGTCATTATGGCGAACCTTGGGTGAGGCCTATGTCCAGCAGTGGATGTCTATGGGCCGATGATAAGGATGAAATAAACTCAAAGCTGAAAACAATGACGTCATTAAGAATTTAACGTATCACTACATAGTATAAAACAAAGTCGCTTTCTCTGTCCCTATGTAAGCTTAAATCTTTAAAACTCCGCAACGGATTTTGATGCGGTTTTTTAATAGATAGAGTGATTGAAGAGGAAGGTTTATATGTATAATAACATCCATTAAATAGTGGAGAAATCAATAATAATTTACAGTTTCCGAAGCGAAGCGAGGGCGAGTCGCTAGTTATGTAATAATGAATCCTCCAGTCACGTACCTCAACTGAAGATGTGTGTTTCCAGAGTGCCGCACCGGCGAGGTGGTGGTGACGCCGGGGTTCGGTCTGCAGTGCCGGCACGTCATCCACACGGTCTGCCCGAAGTACGTGTTGAAGTACCACACCGCGGCCGAGAGCTCGCTGCACAACTGCTACAAGTACGTGCGATTTTCAATACACAATGAAACTCCAAACTGTTTCTGAGCCCGTACTGATTATTCGCTTCCAAAATTTTCCTTACATTATTTAAAATGACTTGTATTTAATGTGAAACACCGGAACGTGTCGTCAAATTAACCAAAAATAGTTTGCTTTAGGTGGTATGTTCTCGAAACCCACTCGCTATGGGTATTTAAAAAGAACGGTAGACAGTGGCTTGGCTCTGCCCCTGGCATTGGACGATGGTAACCACTCACCATTAGGTGGATCATATGCTCGTTTGTCTACAAGAAATAAATAAATATTTACTAACAATCACGCCATGTTAACTGGTCCCGTGATAAGTTCGTAAAGAACTTGTGTTACAGGTACCAGATAACGGATATAAATGTAAGATTTTTATTATACACATACATATATTTAATATACATCCATAACCCTGGAAAAGACATTTATATTTATCATACAAATATCTTCCCTTGGCGGGATTCGAACCCGCGACCCCCTTGTGTAGTGACCATGTCACTTACCACTACACCAGACGGCCGAATGTGGGAATCCTGTGACCCTTAGCGTAACAGTCAGGGTCACTAACTATTGCACCACCGAGTCAGTTAAGTCTGTTGTGTTACGGCTGACAACTACTGACAAGACACCCCCGCATGCTGGAATGTATCGCTGTTCGGCGACAGAAACACACAGGGCGGCATTGCCTATCCGCACGAGCTCGGTTGACGGCCGCAGTGTATGTGTTACGGTTAATGTACACTCTTGGGAAATGTTCACATTTGCCAACAATTTAGGTATATGTGAACTGAATTTAATGTATAAGTACATTTTTCGGCAAATGTGTACTCTTGCCTTCACGTTTTAGTAAATGTATACTCTTACCTTCATGTAATAAGAAAAATTGGAATAAAAATAAATTAATAATGTTGTTGCAGTAATAAAATATTTATTTAAATAAACAAAATAAAAGGCTTTAATAACGAAAATTATTTTAATTAAAAAATGTAAATGACAAACAAAACATACTTTTCTTTGCATATTATATAATAATTCGTAGGTTAGGTTAGGTTGTAGTGGTGCGCATGCGCACCATATTACTAGCACTTGCTATTTCGTATTTTGTATGCCATGCTCACATTTACCAAAACGACATGGTCATTGTGAATTCAATGTACATTTTCCTTCTTTGAAATTGTAAATGTTAGTTGAACGCAGATTAATTACCCAAACGAGGGGGCTAATGTGCACATTTACCGGAAAATGCGTACATTTGCCGCAATATCTACTTTTACCGTAACATAATTATGTCTTATATGTATAGATGATGTGTTGTTGTATGTATATTTGCTTCGTCCGTTGTCCAGGAACGTGCTGCACGCGGCGGGCTCGCTGGGCGCGCGCTCGCTGGCGCTGTGCGTGCTCAACACGCAGCGCCGCAACTTCCCGCCGGACGTCGCCGCGCACGTCGCGCTACGTACGTACCACTGCTGTCTTCATCTTTTAGCTCCCTCTCATTCCGTGGAAGTTCATCGATATTTTTCTTTTTTTAAGGGATTTTATGACCTGGTAACTAAGATCAATTGTTTAATATCTGTGAAAGTGTACAAATGTAGGAAAATGAAACATAGCCGCTGGACGTAACTTCTCGGGATCCTTCAAAAAGTTCAATGAAAAAATCTCAGAAAATGACCATCATTTTACTGAGATTATATTTCATCCCATATCATCGGATTTCATTTCATTTCATCCCAGTTGATTAATGTCTCAAATTAATTATATTCATTTCATTTCACTCCATATTATCATTATTCATAAAAATAAGAATATAAATTCTAATAAGACATGACTTAAAGGTCTTAGTTACCAGGTCATAAAATCCATTTAAAAAAAACCGGTTGTCTGTAAAGTCGGTTTACTGACGATAGTTGAATGTGACAACGTCATACGTAAATACTGATGGAATGGTTTCATTTTTCAAAAGAAAATTTTAGTTTTATTTGTTTGATAGATATTTTGTATGGACAATTGACACCACATTTACTTTTCACTGAACTTCATACTTGGCGAAAACATGTAAATGTATTATTGTATAGCAGTTTTCCACGCGGATGCATCGCTCTCTCAAGTAGGAGAGAGACAAATGTCGAACGCGGAGGCCGATTGTGCCTCTTTGTCGCTCGTTGCGCGCTCTCGCTTGCACTTCAAGCCTTAAATGGAACGCCTCAATGAGTCATGTTTTTTCGTGCGTGCAGCCGGCTCCATCGAATTTTAAGACGTTGTCACGTCAAAAAAAAAGATGAACGCAGCGGTTCGAGCGGGGCGCCGCTCATTCGAAGGATCTGTCGGCAGGCACGATCCGGCGCTACCTGGAGGGCAACGCGCAGCCGCAGCTGGTGGTGGTGGCGGCGGGCGCGGTGGACGCGTCGCTGCTGGGCGCGGTGGCGCCGCTGTACTTCCCGCGGTCGGCGCGCGAGCAGGACGCGGCACGCTGGCGGCTGCGGGAGGCGGGCGGCCGCGCCGGCGAGCCGCTGCACCACGACCGCCGGATACGCATCATCCACAACCCGCACGAGCACCCGCACCGCGACGGTACGTACGCACCGCCCGCAACACCACACAACACCACACTTGCACCTTTTTTATTTTATTGCTTAGATGTGTGGAGCTCACAGCCCACCTGGTTTTAAGTGGTTACTGGAGCCCATACACATCTACTACGTAAATGGGCCACCCACCTTGAGATATAAGTTGTAAAGCTGTTTTACCACATTACTCGAAGAACGGATGGCCGTTGGGGCCGGAAAGTTCTTGAGTGGCGACCACATATCGGAAGACGTAGCGTGGGTAGACCTCCCACAAGATAGACCGACAACGATTGTTTGTCAGACAGGACTTTATTTTTATCGATACAAGTTAGGTCTTCCTCCGGGCTCAGTATTCAGTCAGTCCGGAATTCTCGGGATGAATGTCTCGTCCGATCAAATGTCACGAAGGTCATGCTTAGTTTATTAGCCTGACTGTCAGGATAGTTGTCAGTCAATATATGTATATCGCACATAATCGTCGGTAAGGATACCATAAACGTCTTTAACCCAAAGGAGCTTATGGCCGTTTCACTGCAATGGGATATAACCAAAAGCTTTATCGATACTAAACACCAAATGGATCGTGACCCCGTCCATCCATTTAGATCAAAATAAATATGTTAAATCATGGCATTGCTAAACGCCCAGTTTCCGTAGTACCAGCCATCGACGACGATAATGTGACGTCACACGTCAGTACTACAACACTGTAGTCAAGAAACAATCTCAAAACTCATTCCAAAGGAGATACATTTTCACTATTGAATTTCGCACATACCCGATCCTGCGGACCGAATGGTAAACAGTCGACGTCGCTCTAAACACGTCATTTCGGATCCTCCCGATCCATTAACGGTGCTTTTATGTACCCCAAGCACCGGTCACCGTCCTCGTCAAATCCGTCGGTTGCGACGAAATGTTCGACGAGTAAATTAACCCACAGACACAGCCCACAGAGTTTCTCGCCGGATCTTCTCAGTGGGTCGCGTTTCCGATCCGATGGTAGATTCTGCAAAGCACTGCTCTTGTTAGGGTCAGTGTTAGCAACACTCCGGTTTGAGCCCCGTGAGCTCACCTACTCGCTCGGGGAATCTAGTGTTACCCATTGAATAGAATAGGTAGGAACAAAAGAAATTTAACTCCGCCGCTCAGCCGTAATTACTGGTGGTAGGACCTCTTGTGAGTCCGCGCGAGTAGGTACTACCACCCTGCCTATTTCTCCCGTGAAGCAGTAATGCGTTTCGGTTTGAAGGGCAGGGCAGCATACTGAGATCTTAGAACTATCTATGGACTTCAGTAACCACTTAACACCAAGTGGGCTGTGAGCTCGTCCACACATCTAAGCAATAAAAAAAAATTGGGTTAAAGCACGAAAAACTTCACGCATTTTTCTTGTTCAGTGCCTCTGTATAATGCACGTAGATTGCTGACTTAACGGTACGAGAATTCTTTTGGTAGGAACTATTACGGGCGGGTTCGCGCCAGTACCTGAGGATTCGGATCATTATTAACCCTCTCATCCGCGACGGTACGTGTCCCAGCTGGTGTTGGATTTAGGCTTGATACCGCCCTATGCCCTGATTACCGCCCTTAATGCTATAATAAATTTTATTAATTGTGATTCAATTTTTTTTTTATAGAAATTAATATGAACTCATTTGCAAATGAGACTGTGTCTTTACTTTCTTTCGATTCTGAAATTTTGGCATTTCAAAAACATTGCCGCCCCTCAAATCATGTCGCCCTACGCCGGGACCACACGGGCCAAGGCGTAAATCCATTACTGGTCCCAGTGGACTGTAAACGCACATTGTAAGAACACGTTGGTGCATCACATTAACGTCGTTACACACACACATTAGGTTTACTGGTGGTAGGACCTCTTGTGAGTCCGCGCGGGAGGGTGCCACCACCCTGCCTATTTCTGCCGTGAAGCAGTAATGCGTTTCGGTTTGAAGGGTGGGACAGCCGTTGTAACTAAACTTAGACCTTAGAACTTATATCTCAAGGTAGGTGGCGCGTTTTACGTTGTACATCTCTATGGGCTCCGGTAACCACTTAACATCAGGTGGGCTGTGAGCTCCTCCATCCACCTAAGCAATAAAAATAAAAAAAAGTTTGCATATTATTTTGTTCACTCGTTATCATTGAGCCTAATCACAACATGACATGGTCAACGGTTACAGAAATCGATTCCCATTATTCAAAAGGTCTTTGGAGGTCAAAAAATAACAAGACATTTCTGTGACTATGATGACGTTATTAAACTCGTAAACGTACCACATTGTAGTTTCACTTCTAATTAGTATGTATTAAATTTAATAACCTAAAATTGATAATAGTTACAAGAGGTTAAGCGAGACATTCACTAGCGCCATCTACAAAAATGAAATTTAACGTTTTCATAATCAATTTGAATAGTTACGATTTACACCGTTAGACCGCTCCGTAGTGTCATAAAATCAGGTTTATATTATGCTAAAATCGTGAGACCAATCCAATTCTGATTGATTTCTACTAAAATAACAAATAAAATCATGATTCACACTACCGATACGGATACTACTCATATGATTGAAGATTATTTTCAACAGTATCACAGATTGAACAACCAAACTTGTTTACGATTCCTGATTGCAATTTTTTTTAATTGAACTTAGAATATTGCGTAATTATAAACGATATGTTTAATGTTATATTGAGTACATTAATCATTAAAATCAATTAACACGGGCCTGTTCAAGTTAGAGGTATTTACGATTGAAAAACATTACTTAATGAACTAGTGGGCCACCTAAAATACTATTAGTATTCAAGGGAATTCAATTAGGCCCATATTTTCTAACATGTTTTTTGGTATTTAAATTGAATACCTTCAAAACAAATGCATTATATGTATTCAATTTTCTCTTAGTTCCGATATCCTTTACAATCACAAACTATAAGAGATTACGGTAGGCAGTGGCTTGGCTCTGACCCTGGCATTGCTGACGACCATGGGCGACGGTAACCTTTCACCATCAGGTGGGCTGTATGCTCGTCTGCCTACACGGCAATAAAAAAAACTTACATAGATTGTTATCTTTAACTGATAATAATTGCTCTAATTTAGAGCGATAATTTCGGATACGGTAAATAATAAAAATTATCGAAAAATATTGTTTTGACTAATTTTGCTTTACTCTGAATGTAACGATAAAAATCAGATGACGCACAAATGACGTCACCTGATTTATGCGCTCTCGGAGGAATTAAGGTACATCCGGCTTCTGGACAACTTAATATAAGTATTTTGGTAGGGTGTTTTATTGCAATAATATTTATTGTCTTTGGGTTTCACGTCTCGTAAACATAATTAAAACTATTTTTACGGTTTTTATTTTTATTACATAAATTCTGACGCTACGAACCCTTTACAGTTTTTAAACGTGCTTATAAAGAAAATGAAAAAAAATGAAAATCATAGATTTTTAAACATTTTGTTTGGAAACTCATTATATAGTTTGCAAACCCGAGACTTAGTTCTTTGATTTGAATGCAGAGTTGTGCTAAGCTTTATAACGATAATAAATACAGCCCTTCTTATTTTGGCCGTTGGCTTCTTTGCTGTACCAATTTTTTTATTTATTTCTTAATAGATTTATTGTGTCAGTTACGTGGCGTTCAATATTAAACTTAGGTTTGATCGTGGCCTACTGCCGAACTAACTTAGAAAAGAAAATATTATCCGTAATATTTTTTTCAATGTTACGGGCGTTCTGAATCCGGACGATTTTCAGTTCGCTTTTTGTTAAATACAAAGATAATTCCATCGCCCAACTTGATATATTCACAGTTGATTTATCAACTATACTGCAGAAGCGCATCACCTTCCAATTCAGAACGCACGAACGATTCGTAGTAGATGTGTTTTCTGAGCACTATGACATGTCCTTCTTTAAAAGAGGCTTGTGGAGAGTATTAAGCGGTAGGCAGCGGCTTGGCTCGGCCCCTAGCATTGCTGAAGTCCATGGACGACGGTAACCACTCACCATCAGGTGGGCCGTACGCTCGGCTGCCTGCAAGGGCAATAAAATAATAATTGTAGAACAAGAAAAAATCACAAAAACTAATTACGCACACTTAGAACTAATTACCACAAAACGGGGACGCTAGCGCTGTTATCACGACCATCCCATTCCGAATTATCTTCAGATAAAACCGAATATAAATGTCGTTATCGGATATTGACGCATCAGTTGTATCGATCGACTTCGTAGTGTCGTGTCCGTGTTCTGTTCACTCGCTACGCAATGGATGTTGTGCCAGTTAAAGTTGACATCGAGCTGAAGGAAAAGCCTAAAGGTACGCTGACGATAATCTTTAAGTAACATTCGTGTAAAAGTCTTCAAAACACTCAAACATCCACCTCAATGAATACTGATGATTGACGCAGCCATGGTCATCGAACACAAAGGCTGTGACGTACCTACCCAACAAAATAAATGAATTTATGTGATTAAATTAAAATGAAGATATGAATTTATTAATTAAAGCGACCGTTGTGATTTTTTAATTTTTTATTTGATTGAAATCGAGAAATTAGATTAGCACAATTGTTTTTTCTTTCGAATGCAAATAAATTCACGTTACGTAAATATTGAAAACACAATATCGAAATAGCATTTTCAGTCTTATTATGTGTATACTAAAGGGACATATTAACAATACTCTAGAGAAATGAATACAGGGTGTGGTAAGATGTGGTGTGTGTAATAAGATAATATTATCGCTGCCCCTATGTTGAAGTCTCAACATTCTCCTAAAAACCTGTAATTGCATTGATATGGCTTTAGCAGGGGTCCAAACTTCCATTTTTAGTAAAATAATTGTGAGTGATAATTAATTGAATGCAATCGGAGTCAGTTATACGTTGCAAAGGACACTTTTTTCATTGATTAGATGGTTAGACGAGCTCACAGCCCACCTGGTGTTAACTGGTTACCGGAGCTCAAAGACATCTAC